TCCAACTCATGTTCCATCTTGGAGACGTGATTTTAGATTCGTACGCCGAGCCGTCTTCGTGCGACATTCCTCCTCGTGGACAGACGGACTTGTGTATTACCAATTCGATGATTTCGACGAGTAACCACAGCCGCGTATCACCCGATTTATATTTACACGCGTGCTCTGCAAGCTTTGTCCTATTCGGTATGTGTGGTTCGCATGAACCAGCGATTCTCAAATAATGCCCCGAGTCAAACACGGTTGAGTACAATAATATCGCGATCCTCAAAGCTAGACTGGCCGCCTTGTCCGGAGAAGACTGCGAATAAATACCTCCCTCGTTTGTTTTACAATCACGAAGCTTCGACACTTGAGTGTAAAACTTTTAACAAGCGCGAGAATATTTTTTTATTTAAAAACGATTCAACTCAGACTTCGTTTTTACATTAATTAATTTATCGTAATTATGTTTTCCGCGTCTTCTTTACACCATTTCTGACCTTAGTCCTACTGTGGTCGTTGCGTCGGATGGACGTGCCTTCCACAGTTTCTCCGATTGACGCCCAGAGGTGGATGTCAAACACCCTCCCTTTTTAAATTTAATATCGATGACGTAATAATTGTAAGTAAATTTCACTTTGTTCGCGTGTTGACTGATATTGATTTCATGTGTAACCGATACGCTTCTAAGTTGCAATGTTCTCCGAAAATTTGTAGATTAATTTCCTTGAAAAGGACCACAGCCCGCATGGTCGAAAAGTCGGAATTAAGTAAACCATCTGCAAGCCTAAGGTCGTTTAACAATTCTGTCTTTCGTTAATTAACTACTGGCGATTACCATTATCACCAATTCGATGATTTCGTATATATGAAATGAACATTTACTTCAGTAAAAAAATTATTTTAAGTAAATCTATTTACTTAGTTAAAAGAAAAAGTTTTTGTTAGTGTATGTAAATACAATGAACGTTTATTCTAATGAGACTTATTTAGCTAACGATTTCTTTAGCATTTTATTTCTCTGCGTGGTTTCTCTAGACATTAAACAGCAGATATGCGAAGCTGTCAATGCCGCGCCTGTCTGCATCCGCTGATCGTCCGCAGATCACATTTAGTGAACGTTTGCGCGCGACATTTCGCAATCGGTGCACGAATCAATCGACGTGCAACATGAGGAAACGCTCGAAGCATATGGGGATCATTCTCATCGATTCAACGTATCGCCGATTGAAGCGAAGTAAATACCAATCGCATTATGCAATTTCCTTGAAACTTATCTATACATTCCGCCTGTGCAATCGATACATCGTGCGACGCGTGCGACAGTTTCCACGTGGACAAAGCGCGAGCTAAGTGGAGGCACATTAGTTTCATGGTAGGTCGCTTTAAGGTAGTTATTTCGTGCAACCATTTATGTGAGAATTGTTTCAAAGTTTTACAGTTTATTCTTTACATCAATACGTGCAAAATAAGACTACTTAAATTAAAATTGACCGTCTCAAAGTTCTAAAAAAAAAAAGAGTTAAAGTTTGCTATATTACGCAAAATATTACGTGTGAAACACGTAAAAAATATTTTTACACGTAACAATACAATTCGTTGTAATGTTATTACACGTGAAATATTATTTGCACATATTATTATGCGTTAAAATATTAATATTTGCGTTTGCAAACGCAAATGACGGTACATTTTTTATTTTTTAGCTTAACGGTGAGTGAGATTCGTATGAGAAACAACTATGTTATAAAGTAAAATAGAACGAATGGCCAATATAAACAGTTAAAACTGAAAAATGGGAAGAATTATGCAGTAGACATGAGTGCGTAGAGTAAGAGACGTGGCGACAGCGCCTCAAACTATAATCTTTCGAATCTATTTTATATTATGTATCAATCGTAAGTGTATTCTTTAGAACAATATTGCATCAAAATATATCATTGTAATAACTGAGCGCTGGTACCTGTCTGGAGGAAACTTTTGAGCATTACCGTCGCGAAACAACTACCTTAAGGGGATGCTGGAGTGATTCTGCACTTTTGCACCTTTCTAACCTAGAAACTATCAGTTCGCGGAAACACTTGTGTAATATACAAATTAAATGACTTACGTGTACAGATCGAAAGCAGCTTGCTATTCCGGCTAAATGAAAGAACAATATGGCATCACTGAAACTAAGTTTGTAAGTCTAATAAGAAACAATAGTGAGCAACACACACATACCGTACATGTGGTATGTGTGTTGCTCACTATTAATTTTTATTAGACTTAGAAACTTAGTTTCAGTGATGCCATATTGTTCTTTAATTTAGCCGGAATAGCAAGCTGCTTTCGATCTGTACACGTGAGCCATTTAATTTGTGTATTACACAAATCTTTCCACGAAACAGACAGTTTTAAGTGCAAAAGGTGCAAAAGTGCAGAATCACTCCAGCATCCCCTTAATCGCGACCGTCAACCCCGATCACGTTTTGCACAAGCTCGTAGCACGCGTTGCCCGGCAATTATTTGCACGCGATAAATATCGGTTATCAGCAATAAAGAATCATTTTATTAACTTCATTAATTGTTACGTCAAATTAGTCGCGGCCAGTTAGCGCGGGTAATTTCATTCGCAACAGGATACTCACGATAATTGAATCATTTGCCGCATCGATACCTTCCTTTTCACTCGCGATTTCTCAAACCTCTCGTGGTTCAAAGTGAAAATTTTAAAACGCAATAACCGATAATTGAAGTATGCAAATTAGATGGCTCGTAAACATAAAGCCCTTGACGAATATTTTTTATCGACCGCTCTTCTAGAGAGAAAGCATCCTTTATTTAAACTTTCTGCACACATTTATAATCGCAATTAGTGCTATTAAAATGTGACCGCGTCGCGTCTGTGTTGTTAACTTGTTGCTCATTAATAAAATACGATTCCTTTTCGTTCGCGTTATTGAATTAACTTACTCATTAGTCGAGCAAGTGAAAAAAATAGGACGACTACTCACCAACTAAATGAAAGATCGCTCCCTCGAAAGACCCGTCCTCATGAATGGTAGTCTCTCTCATGTGCCTGAAAAGCCGGAAACGGGGGGTAAATAGCTGCTCGAACGGTTACATGGTACATCTGGAAACTAGACAACACCCCAGCGATTGTTTCGCAAACTGTTCGCAGTAGCAAATCGATATTTGAACTCGTGCGATTAAAAGATTTCGTTCGTTCGCGTGCTCTTTGCTTTTCTCCCTCCCTTAAAAAGCCTTTCTTACAGTTTGAAAAAGAATTCCCGCCGAATCGTCGATAAAACGGCCAGCTGTGTCTTGGATCCCGCTTAATCAACTGACGTCCGATAACGCGCGAATAGCGTGACACGCACTCGCTCGTTTCTCACTCGGAAATGAGTCCGCCCGTCCAGGATAAACCGAGGCGGTTTCCCGTCACCGCAACGAGCCCGAGCGGAAAGATCGTCACAAGTGCTTGGCTCCGGTCTACAATGAGTTGTAAGTCGTTAGTCAGAACTACACGTCGGTCCTTTTTCTTCCACCCGGAAAGGAAAAGGATCAAGATACATTTCCGACCAACAACTCGTCGTAGACCCAGGCTTTCGCGATCCCGCAGTGGCCGCGGGTCGACGTCGAGAGTCAACGCACCAAGCCTTGTCGTAGGCGTACGTCACGTTCGTCGCGGGGCGACGTACGCCTGCAATTCTTTGCGCGTCGACTGCCGACACCGACCAGAGCCTCGCGACAGAATCGTAAACGGACCACGACGGTCTTTCCGCTCGGGCTCCGACACGCGCCAAGCGAGAACAAAGACGCGTCTCGGGTGGCGTAGAGAGAGAGAGAGAGAGAGAGAGTGCACGCTCGACTCGTCGCTCGGTCTTCGGGGTGGAAAGCACAAAGGAGCAACGCCGCGGAGAGACGGCGATCCCGTCGGCCCCTAACCTCACCTGGGCGGTGGGATTCCCCCGGAGGAGTCCGCCGCTCTCCCAAGCCGGCCGTCGATCCGCCCGCGCGATTACGTAAGTGAGCCGCGAGTTCCCGCCCGCACGCACGATTACATGTCTCGCGACGTCGCAAGGCCGCGATGGAGGAAGACGGAGACGACGATGACGACGCGGCGGCCGCAATAAACAAAGGCAGGTCTCTCGCACGGTGCGCGAAGGATCGGTCGCCCCCCTCCCCCCACCCCCCGCACACGTTCCTTCCCGCAGCGCCATTAGTGCCGCCGCCGCCCGTGGGGCGGCGCCGCCGACGCGCGCGCGCGATCAGCTGATCGACCCGCGCACGTGCGCCGCC